TATGACTTTTTTAAATTATTATGATATATAACAAATTCTAAAAATGAATGGAATGCATATGTGGCACATATTTATCTTGAATTGATTTAAATATTATTAAATTAATTACATAACTAAATAATATTAATGTAAAATAAATATTTATCATTATATATATATACATATATATATATAAAGAATTTTACTTTTGTAAGTGTTATAAATATGATATTATACGATTTTGAAAGAGTTTGTTGCTATTCCGTTGGTAGTTACCAACAGAATAATCCGTTGCTAATACAATATTGAATGTGTCTGTTGCTATTCTGTTGCTATTTACCAACGGAATAGTCCGTTGCTATTACAATTTTGAAAGAGTTTGTTGTTATTCCGTTGCTATTTGACAACGGAAAAAATCCGTTGCTATTTACCAACGAAATAATCCGTTAGTAATACAATATTGAAGGTGCCCGTTGCTATTCCGTTGCTATTTGCCAACGGAAATAATCCGTCACTATGTACCAACCAAATAGTCTGTTGCTATTATAATTTTGAAAGAAATTGTTGCTATTCCGTTGCTATTTGCCAACGGAAAAAATCCGTTGCTATTTACCAACGAAATAATCCATTGCTAATACAATATTGAAGGTGCCCGTTGCTATTCCGTTGCTATTTGCCAACGGAAAAAATCCGTTGCTATTTACCAACGAAATAATCCGTTGCTAATATAATTTTGAAAGAGTTTGTTGCTATTCTATTGGTATTCTGTTTGTATTTACTAACGGAATATTTCCGTTACTATTTGCCAACGGAATACTAAGATATAATTTTCGTTGCTATATTTTGTTAGTATTATATTGGTAATCCGATTATAAAAATTGTATATATAATGCATTACTAATCCATTGGTGATCCGTTAGTAATGCCCAATGGAAAAATTTTTGTTCGTAATTTTTGTTGGCATTTGACAATTTCTTGTAGTGACGGGACCACATAATAATTTGTCTTTTTCTTAGGAAACAAACTACCAAAATAATACTAACTGGGCTACTTAATACATATGCCCACTACCATAATGAAATGCTCTTAACAGGCTGTTCAACATATAAGCCCAATAACATAGTGACAATACTAATGATAAAGCTATTGAACTTCTCAGGCCCCCTTGCAAACTTCAATGGGCTGCTCTTCAACGTAGCCCAAACTTTTGTGTGTCATCTCATCAGCCTCACTCGATTCATCACCTTTCTTCACTTTAGGGATTTCTTCGCACAAATCGGTCGTCAACCCTGAAGACCCTCCATTTCCATCTTCTCCGATTGCCAAGCTAGCTCCTTTTCCGGTCATCTCTGTCAAAGCATCCTCTTTGTTCATAACACTTATAAAATATATAAAATTGTCAATTTGGCTCATATAATCTAAAGTTTTAACGTGACATATTTTTTTTTTTTTTTTTTNTTTTTTTTTTTTTTTGTAATTTAACAAAAAATAATTTTTGAATCAAACTTTAATATTGATTTAGAGCTTTTCAAACACATAATGATTAATGAGACGAACAAATGATAAGGTATCATTTTATCAATTTCTAACAACTGATTCGTCGAAAATGATTCGATGAATAAGGTTGGCGACACTTGTTCATAAAGAATGACAGAAACTGAAACAAAAACTTGTTCGCCTATATTTTTAAAGCTCGACCGCAAGTGTACGGCTTCGCTCGTAGTATGTGGCAAGCAAGGTCGTATCCCAAGAGACCAAATAATTATTATACCAATTACTAGATTATGATAGTGTCGATTTTATTTAGACGACCGAATATGAGATGGATTAACTAAACTAAGAAAATATAATCAAGGAAATAAGGCAAAAATAAAGAATTAGCTAGGAAAACACGTAGGAAGATGTATGATAACAATAGATTCTAAGACTTTGGTTTCAATTAACAGTTGGGTTCCTTCAAAAGTATTACAATCAATGTTTTCTTAATCTACCCTATAAGATGATCACAAATTTAGCTTATCGTCCCTCTCGAGATCAATAAAACCGTAGATTAAATCACATATATCAGCGTCTCCACTCAACACATGCAATTCAACTCCAAATAGATTAAAAGATCTAATATCCTCACAACAACATACTAATCTCTCGATTCAAGCAAGTAAATTGTGTCAAATATCAAAGACCTAACATTGAACTCATCTCTCGAATTATGAACAATATTGTCAAACATGTAAAAACATTGGCCAAGTGCTAAACATGAATTAAGAGCAAAATATTTGAATAGGGTTCAAAAGAAAACAATCAATTATAATAAATCATCCAAAATCCCAACATATTAATCTACTACCAAGTCTTAGAATCAAATAAACTAGCCACTCATGTTTGAATTCAAATACATAGACATATTAGAAATCAACATGATCAATAATAGTTCAAAAGGAAAGAAGAAAGGAAAAACTAGGAATCTCGTCGATCTTTCAATCTCCTTGATCCCTTTGTGGTTGATCTCCTTTTGCCTTCCAATTGCTCCTCTTGTGTGTTTCCAAGCCTCTCTAACGTGTTCCCTTCTTTTTGGCCTCTCAAACTAGGTTAAATATGCTTCCTTTTGTGTCCAAAAACCTCTCCTAGTCAAATTAGGCAAGTATTAAAATTCTGTTCCAGCGCGCGACACGGCCTGACACGCCCGTGTCACAGCCCGTGTCACGGGTCGTGTCAGGTATCAAGCCTCGGAATGCCCCTGTTCATGTGACACGGCCACCTGACACGGGCATGGTGCCCGTGTCACATCCCAGCACTCTCGTTTTTTGTCCGTTTCACTCGTTTCTTCCATATTTCTCATCCGTGCATCAATCCATCATCATATCGGGGTCCTAGGTACTCACAATGCGCCTCCAATAGCCACAAGCTCTAAAAATACGTGAAAATATCTACAAAACAAGCACGTGTAATACCTTTCCAACAAATAGAGAATTAAAGCACAAATATGCGATTTATACACCAATAACGCAATGACTAAGCTCTAGATACTCAATAAATATGGTGTAAAATCACACATGAACAAAAGGCAACGGGTGCAAGCCCACTACCATGAAGCGCACTATGAACGGAAAAAAGCCCATATGAAGTTCAAGTGAGGTTTCATCCCAAAACCAATTGGTGGAAGGAAGAGTAACTCATTAGTCTTATAAGGTGAGTCTATTTTTCATGTATGAACGATCTCATAAGTGATATTCTTACAAAGAAAATTTTGTTTTTATTTTCTTATGATCAAAATATCCAGTTTTTTTTATTGGAATATGTCATATGAAAAGGTTGCAATACGAATTTTCTAAGAACATGCTCCAACTACCATCCTTGTTAGTCGTTACCTCTGTAATTATCTCCTTTGTGAAGCTTGAAGTATTCCCAAGCATAATTTTCATGTACTCGTCCAGATGCTAGCAATTTTTTTTTAAGATTGTAAGTTCCTACATATATATCCTGTTTCATGTGTTTATTTTGTGCTTTGCTCCTGTTATTGCTTTTTTTTAGTGTTTACTGCTATAAAATTTCTGTTATTTTGGTTGTTTTGTGTTGCGTGTGCAGATTATTAAGTTCCAAAGACAAGTTATTTTTGTTGTTTTCCACCCATTTTCTAAAAAAAAAAGTAATATTTGGCAATATACCTAGCTAACAGATTTTTTGGTTACTGAACTTTGGGTTTGGTGTTGTAATTTGGCACAACAAAAACTTTTGGTTAACATTATTATACTTTTACATAAATATATTAGTGGTTAAATAATATATTTTATAATTTGTTCTAAATAAGGGTAGTTTAGTATTTACACAAGATTTTTTTATATTTTTTATTTAATTAATTAAGAAAGATGACACATGGCATCAATTAAAGGGATACCTGTTGTTAAGTAGGTACGAGGCAAGTACGAGGCGTACTAGAATGACGCAACAAAGTTTTATATTTCAAGGCATCATCTTTTCTCCAATAAAACAGGGGATAAATATGCAACAGTCACAGGCTCACTCTGTTTCGCCTCTTCAATTCCAAGAACACGTTACTACCAATTTTGTGAAAGAATTTATTACACACAACAAACAACAAATCTCATCATCAGAACAATGGAAAACAGAGTATCAATAAAGCCAACAAAGTTTTATATTTCAAGGCATCATCTTTTCTCTAATAAACCAAGCTTAACAAAAGGGGATGTTGCTGGGCTCACTCTTTTTCACCGTTTAAATTTTCCAATAACACGTTCCAACTACCATCCTTGTTAGTCGTTACCTCTGTAATTATCACCTTAGTGAAGCTTGAAGTATTCCCAAACATAATTTTCATGTACTCGCTCAGATGCTGCAAACTTTTTTAAGATTGTAAGTTCCTACATATATATCCTTTGTTTCATGTGTTTATTTTGTGCTTTGCTCTTGTTATTGCTGTTTTTTAGTTGGTTACTACTATTAAATTTATGTTATTTTGGTTGTTTAGTGTGGTTGTGCAGATTATTAAATTCAAATGACAAGTTCAAAGAAAAAAAAATCAGACGAAATTTCCACGTAGGTTAGCCGATAACTCTGACCTGCTACAGACGGTGTGGCAGTCAGATGATAAAAAAACATATTTTTTTTTTTCACTTAGAGAACTATTTCCAAAAATGAACATTTACTGGGACCAAAATAAAACGGTATCTGGTAAGCGACCAAAAAACCTAGTTTGTCTTCTAAAAAATGACTCTTAGGTGTGTTATTCTCCATTGTTGGAGTTTTCATTCTCCATTTGTGGAAGTTTTAGTTTTGGGTCTTATTTTAGTGCTTTAGTTTGGATTTGCGCCTCTAACACGTTCGAGGAACAGTAGTACTCCGTCGGGATATTCTTTCGCTATTGTAGTTTAGTAACTGTTTGATTCAACTGTTTGTCTGCCGTAGTCTATAAATATTTATATTTTATTAATTATAATCTAGCATTAAAAAAAAAAAAGAAAAAGAAATTAGTGGTCTTACATTTCATAACAAGTAACAACTTGGGCCTATTAACATCAAAACTTCCCTATTAACATCAAGACTTCATAAACTCAACCATTATCATTTGCGCACGTCAACTGACGGAATAACCCTTGCTTCTGTCCCCATAAACAAGGTCATTTCCGTCATTTGAGAACCCAATCATTTCATTTCGGGAAACGATACTATAAAAACAGTCAACGGTCGTCTCCACTTGCCATTCAAAGCAGACCCTCTGCATAAGAAAAAACACACTTTTCCCCAAATTTGGAGCAAAGCTCCACCTCTCGCGCATCCATGGCGTACAACTCGAACACCAATGCTCGGATGAACCCGCAAGCGGCGGCGGAGAAGGCCGTATCGATTATCGGGTACGGGTATGACCTCACCTCCGACATCCGGTTGTCCGCGTGCAAGCCCGGCCCGTCCGGATCGGGTTTGATTGAGCTGGACCGGAACCGAAAGAAGGACCTGGTGGTGCCTGGTAACGTCGTCGTTTCGGACGTTTGTGCTTCCATCAAGTGCGATAAAGGCGAGCGCATCAGGTTTAGCTCCGATGCGCTCTCCTTCAATCAGGTAACTACTCT